TAAGTTAGGGTCATCAAGTCTATTGCTGTTTCTACGGCCTGCATGATTCTGCCTCATGCCCCACTGGTCATAGTGATAGATGAGATCTAATATGTTCATTAGATTTATCTCTATTAAATAGTCAAATGATGATGAGCTATTTCTTTTACATAAGAAAGGGATTCGGTTACTCGCAGTCATTGGCTTAGCATAAACCAATTATTGTTAACATCTTATTGCCATCGACTAATATTTATCTAAATAATGATATTCATCCTGAATGATAACCGATTTTTCTTACACAACCCCATGAGCTTTAACTGATTTATTCTTATGAATAAGCTAGAATCGACTATTTAGTCGATCTCCTTTCATATCGGCTCTCAGAGCCGCACATTCGGGACTGTCTAGCAACACCGACACGTTTCGCCCTAAATTACTGATAAACTTTCTCATTGTCAATTGCAGGATTAAATTGACTGGCACGTCTTGGGAGGAGTACGTAGGATCGACCACCCCTGCGCTGAAGCTAGGCGGATCTACAGCTCCATTGAGCAGACCCTTCTGGCTTGCTCGTGTGCCCTCGGCACGTGATGAAATTTCGTGCCGACAGTATTGTAAGGGACCGTGATGCCTAAAAGAGATTAATTAGGATTTCTAAAATATACAACTAAACTTGGCCTCTAATTATCCTTATCAACACATATGCAATAAAACTATCTAGATGCGCACTTGAGGATTTACTAAGTGCTGCTATCTCTATATCAAAAGAGCTATTCAACCTAGGTTCTAATACTATATACTAGCTTAGCAAGTTACACTAGGAAAGTAATCACATAACCTAAGTACACAATATAAATGTGAAAGCTTAAATGAGAATGCAAAGTCCTGTTGACGACTTCCTATTTTTACCGAGGTATCAAGAAGCTCACGCTTCTCCCCAATCCTCGTTGGAGACCCTCGCAAGGGTCAAGCTCCCAGTCAAGTGACTCTGTGGAGCCCACCGGCCTTCCCCCACGCACAATCTCGACAAGTGCGGCCAAGAGATAGGAGAGGTGGACAGCTCACCTAAACTAGTTCTGCTGACTGAGTGATCTAGTGAATGGTCTGCCAGACCACCGGACGATCCAGCGGGACACAAATTTTAGGATCTTCGATTTTGAGAAGAGAGATTGATATTGGGGCCTTTAATATAGCCCCTAAAGGTTGTAGAAGTCGCTGGAGGTCAAGAGACCACCTCTTGGGTGTTAATCCTAGGGAATTAGGTTAAGTCAACCACCGAGTTGACCAAGGTTGACCTCGATTAACTTGGTTTGACTTAGAAGAGATTAAGCGTTTGAGAGAAAAATTTGGAGTCCTTGTCCAGTAAGAGCTAGATTCAAATATTTCCATTAAATCGATAAGGTCGTCAATGCCAAAGGAGAGCTAATAAACTGGAGTCAGGGCTTTGTTCCATGGTTGATAAAGCTCGTATTTAGGCATATAGCGGTCAGGGAGGAATTGGTGGGAGTTTCGGGTTTCAAGGGGTGTTTTCTGAAAAGTTCAAGTTGGAACGACCGTTAGGTTGTGACAATTTTGGTGGTGCCACGTGGACTAGCCGTGGTCAACAAAGTTTTCCAGTAGTCATTGGAGTTTAGCATTGGAGTTCTCCACTGCTTAGTTTTCATCACGACACACTTTCGTACTTTGGGTGTAACTTTTTGCTCTGAACCCCGATTTTGATGATCTTAGACTTTGGAAAGCTAATGAAAAGCTCTACAACTTTGAACTGATATCATATCTATTTGAATAGATCCAAAATCATGAGACAAGACCAATTCATCCATCTCTTTGTTCAAGCTCTAATGGCTTCAATTTCTTCACATCTTTTTGTCCAACCTTCTTCTACTTGATATAATTTTTTGCTTGTCGTCTAGGGCCTTCATGTGATAGCTCCTAATCCTTTGATTGAGATGTTGATCACTTGATCTTCACCGTCGCTTTGTCCAGCCCATCCTTGCATCCATAGAACTAAAACCTTCTATACTAATGGACAACATTAGTCTAATAGATCATATTGTCACTCAATCACCAAAATCATTTAATGTCCCTAGCTAGGTGTCATTTTTCTTATAGGTAATTGGTGGCGGTAGCTAGGGTTTATTGGATGCAGCAGAGGGATCAACTCAAATTGGAAATAACCATACCTTGCCCTCCGTAGGAACTCAAAATTGCAAACTCTGAAACTGAATTGTCCAAAGGCTATGATGCAAGTTTAGGTAGGGGTATATTTTTGTTTGGTTTTCATGGACTGTGGGATGAAGGTGAACAAGCTAAACTAGGGTAAAGGGTGAACCTGGTGGTAACACCTAAAGTTTTGATTATCACTTGATGGGAATAAAAGGGGTGCCCGATCTTACATCTAGTCGACATAACTCTTGATTTGGTGGAGGCTTGACACACACATGATCCGGCTTCTTATCACAAAGACCTGAACCCTGCAATCATAGCACCATATCTCATTTATTTATCCACCATGCACTGCCTGGTTGATCCACCACGAGGCCTGCAAATCAAGAATACAAGCAAAAACAAGATAGGGGCAACTCAAATCGCAAACAAGATGAAACTCACAAGTTGGGGTTTCACAAAATAATGTTCGATGAAACTGTTTGGTGATAGATTAATCTAAGAAAATCTCAATCCCTAACTTGTGTGGCATATTTTTCTTTTGGCTATTAATGCTGGATCAGCTTAATACAAGAAACCTATGCCAAAAGAATTTCCATTTCCAGAGTTATTCATGTGTGCTGTGCAACACTACTGTGGAAGAAACATTGGATCATTTGTTTTTTTATTGTCCCTTCGGTGCTTGGTGTTGGAGCTTAGTTGGGATTGTCTGGGACACTTCATTGCCTATCATGGACAGATTAGAGTTTGCTCGAGCTCAGTTTGGTTTGCCCATCTTCATGGATATTGTTATCTTGACAGCTTGGTGCATTTGGGCAACAGGGAATAGCATCATCTTTGATGGAGCTGTGGTGGTCTTTTTGGGACAGTGGAAGCGTCTTTTTCTTTCTGTTCTTAAGTGTAAGCCCTCAAAGAAACCTCTTCTTCAAGCTTGGCTTACACAATTTTAGTTTTGTATAGTTTGTTTCTCTTTTGTACTGACTTAATATTTATAAAATAAGTTCAGTAGGCGATTCCCCTCCTGTTTCTTAAAAAACTTGGGTGGCATCTACTAAATATATGGTGTTAGGGGAGAAAAGAACCCCTCGACGCGTTTCTAATAAACTCCGACACAATACATAGCCCAACAACTCTGAAAGGACCCTGATGTCCCGTAGAGGAGAGTGAATAAACAATTTTGAAATTTAACAACAAACAAAACTTCGCAGCGGATCAGCTTAGTGCAGAACTTCCATGTAATTTTGCAGAACTTCTTCGCATTTTGAGAAGTCTTTATATCTTATTTTTAGAAGTCAAATAATTTCAACTTATGTAATCGCATGTTTCTATAGATACATATAGGCATGATTTTCATACTAATAATCATATGCTCCATCCATCCTAAAATATAGTGTATTGTGACTTCTAAATTTGTACTAAAATATAGAGCCTTCTACATGGTGTCATGCCTAGATTTAGCAAAGTTTGTTAAAAAAAGAAACCATAATTTAAGGAGAAACACCTTAATTGGGTTTAATATATGGGTACATGCGTCATTTGAGGATAGCCTTAAGTTGCCTTAAAAATTTCAAAATGCACTATATTACAGGACATAGGGAGTAAGCATCATTAGATTAATTATGTCATATTTTTTTTGTAATATAAGCTTACTTGAAGATACAAATGTTAATACTATTTTATATAAACTTAATTATAGTTATATTGGTTAACTCCTTGAAATATGAGTTAGAACAGAGAGAGTACATGATCAAATGCCGGAAGGATATGATAGTCATCTTAGGTGCCAAACATTAAGAAAAGAGATTAAGAAATAATAAATAAGACATAATAATGTAGAAATCAAAGTGTCAATCACATAAATGCTAATTTCACGATGTTAATGTTTGGAGTCCTAAATATACGAAGCCCAACATTTGAACCAAGCAGCGCTCGGGTGGATAGCACAACCGGTGTGCGGGCAGTCGGCGCGAGTTCGATTCCTGGTTTCTCACCGGGGTACGTCCCCAATAAATTATGTTGCCTCTCGCACGTGGAGCCACAAAAGATAATGCGACGCGCCTGTCGCCTATAGAGCCATGGATGGATCATGTGATCTCACGAAGGACGAGATTTGATCTGAGTTGTAGGTTTATTTGTGTACGTGTGGTGTGAGTGTGGTGTGCATGTGTAAGGCCAGTGTGAGTGTACATGAGTGGATACTACAGCTGTACCAGACAAGAGACGTTAAAAAAATACATTTAACACTAATTATTATGTCATGCTTTTAGTCTCTTCCAAAACCAAACGCATGAGCCGCGCGACAAGGTATTTCAAGCAAAAGGTACTCACGTAGTCACGTTTTTTGTGTGAAGGCTCAAGGCGTTTTTCGCAAATAAAGGACAACCGCAAGGTAACAGCGGTAACAATGGACAAAAACTTGAAACAAAAATTTTGGCTTTCACCCTGTTCGCTTGTTGGTTTCAGCAGTCCAAATCAGCCAGCCAACAGTATTTTTCTCTTAAAAAAACCAGCACCAACTAACACAAACCAGCACCAGCACCAGCACCAGCACCAACCAGCAAACGTGCCCTTTGACTGTGTACTAATAAACTCTGGCAACCAGCCCCTCGTCGAAAATCTTAATTCCAAATCCACCCCCACCACACGCACGTTTCTCTTCTCCCCGACTAGTCACCAAAAAAATTCCCCATCTCCGTCACCGGCGAGCCCTGCCTTCCCGTCCTTCCGCGATTCTTCCGCGTCGTGGTAAGCGGTGAAGCTCTGCAAGATTTGCCCCGCCTTCATTTTCTTCTTCTCCAGCGGCGCGAGCTCCCCTCCTAACCCTTTTTCTTCCTTGGTCCTCACCAAGCTACATGGCGGATTCGCGAGGAACAGCTTCCAAGAGCGCTGACAAGGATAGCACCTCCACGCGCCCGGCGCGCATCCGCGTCATGCGCCCGGAAGTCAAGGAATTTCTGACGAGTCCTCGCCGTAGCCGCCCCAAGAAGCAGCCTCCTTCACCTCCGCCTTCTCCTCCTCCCCCGCCGCCACGGAAGGAGAAGGTGAAGGAGAGGAAGAAGAAGGAAAAGGAGAAGGCAGCGACGGGGGAAGAGAAATTCGAGCGCGCGCAATACAACTGCGCCTTCCAGGACGAGGACGAGGAGGGCCGCGACTTCGCGCCGCCGGAGCTGGCTGGGGTAAGGTGCGGAGCCACCCCTGGTGGCCCAGACAGGCGTTCGACGCCGCTGATGCGTCCGAGATCGCGCTGCAGCACCGGAAGGCCGGCGCCCCGCTCGTCGCCTACTTCTGGGACAGGACCTTCGCTTGGAGCGACCCTTCCGCGCCAACTTTAGGCGACTATCCGCCCAGAGCACTATGTCCAGCTTCGTCTCCGCCATCGACTCCGCGCTGCAGGAGGTTGGGCGACGCGTAGAGGCTGGACTCTCGTGCGGTTGCTTCAGTTCCAGCATTGCCACTTAGCTGGAGGTTCAAAACTCTGGTGTCCGGCAAGGGGCGTATGGTGCGGCGGTAGACTCTGTCTACACAAGGGATGCCTTCCATGGCAAAACATTTCTTGACTACATCTCAGCAATGGGAAAGAAACCACTGGCCGGTGCTGATCTTCTTGACCTTGCCACCGCCAAAGCACAGCTGAGGGCGTTCAATCGCTCAAGGGGTTCAAGGGACCTCCCTGAGTTTGTGATGTTTGAGGGTATTTAGGAGATTACAGAGATGAGACACACAAAGGGAGAAAGGATGCACAAGAGGAGTGAGGATGATGTTCCGGGCAAGGAGAAGAAATCGAGGCGTGCTGGGAGTTCACGTAGAAAAGGAGAGGCTTTACCAGAGGCTGGAAATGAAGATGCTATGGATGAAGACAGCAATGGAGGGGTGTCAGATGATACATTGAGTCAGGGGAAAAGGTCAAAGCGCATGAAGAGTTCATCGAAGAAGAAAACAGACATTTCCAAACATTTAGATGGACTCAAAACTGGCCCTGTTGCTGACAGCAGAACACTGGACAAGAAGACAGTAGATGATGTTTTGAGCGAGAGAAAATCTGGGCGCACGCTGAGATCCACGAGCAAGAAGGAAGATGCTTTAGAGGGTTTGAAAAGGCTGGCAAAGGATGGAAGTGAGTAATTAACAGGAAAAAGCAAAGATGCCCCTGTTCTTAAAGAAAACAATAAGAGGCATGGAGCAGGCTCTGCACACAAGAAGGGTAGAATCACAGAGGATGGGTATCATAGACTTGGAGATAGCAATGCCGAGGATCTGACTTCTCCTGGCAAGAGAAGATCAGGGCATAATGAAAACTCAATAAGCAAGCGAGTGTCCATCTCGGAGCAGGGTAGGAAGAAGAAGAAACTTTCTGAACTCATGGCAGAGACAGGCAGGCCTAATTCTGCATCTGGTGGTAAGGGCAAAACTCGAGGGAAGCATTTGTTGCATGATTCAGCTGAGAAAGCTGAGGATCCTGATCGTCACTCTAAGGATACATTGGTGACTAGGAAAAGAAAGAAGCTCAACACATTGGGGGATTTGTCTTCACAGTCAGAGCCTCTCTCTCGTAAGAAGTCCACAAAGGTTGGAGAACTGATGAGCAAAGCAGCTGGGAGCAGCATGTTACAGGCAGCACCTGCTGTCAGAGCTAATAGTGGAGTGTCTCAGACGAAACCACGTAGGGCTAAGCACAGGCAAGTAAATGCTGAAGACAAATCTCCACGTCCTGTGAAGGTGAATCAGGGGAACAGCGAAGCCATTAGTGAGGAGTCTCTATCTTGTGGAGAAATGCTATGGCAGCTCTCAGTAGCAGCATGTGGTAAGCATGATCATGCATTGTCTTACTTGTCAGCTGAAAGACTGGAACCCATTACAGCCCCTGTGACCCTATGGCTGTTGCTATATTTGATGCCTTTGAACATCTTCAAAGTTGTATAGTTTTAATGTCTTATGATGTTCTTCTCCTTCCATAACAGAAGTAGTATTTTTGTACACAACATATACAATCTTTTGGCACATGTTCCTTCGATGGATTTTCAAAAGGAATCAACATTTGATATGTGGAGTACTGTTGGTGAGTGTTTTATTATTTGTTTGGCACTCTAAACTTTCCTCTCATTTACAATAGTAATTCCATGTATTCCTGTGAACCTACAAAATAATTCTCATTTAAACTATAAAATTGCTTTAATATTATGCTTTTATGAGCCCGCGTATGTATATGCGCTAAGGTGTGATTAGTGTTCTTACTCTTGCCTTTTGGTTTTGTACTTCTGATGAAGGGCTGTCTTCTAAAGGAGAAAAGGACTCTTCCAAGGTACTTCATCATATATACCACAAATAAACTGGCATTTTTTGAGCTTAAGCTCAAATTTTCTGGGTATTAAGTGATGGAATTATTTAGGACACTTCTACTTACATCAAGAAAAAACTAAAATTGAAGTTCACCAAAGCATGGCTGTCTTTTCTCAAGTTACCACTATCACTTGATGTCTACAAGGAGGTAAAGCTTTTCTTGCCCTGAAAGACATAACTATGGTTACTATTGTATCTGAATTATGAGCCCTTGCAGCAATAATTTTCTAATCCTATGTGCAGTCTAGCGCATTGTGGTATGGTAACAATATAAGTACTTAGGAAGATGAAAATATTTATCGTCTGCTTTCGCTAATCTACATTACGAACACTCACTTTATTTTGCAGTAGTTAGGTGCTTCATTGTTGGCTATGGTTTCCTGCCTTAATTTTTTTTGAGGCCTTGCAGGTCCTTGCTTCAATTCATCAAAATGTCATTCCTTCAATGTCAAACCCTTCCATCTTATGGTAGGTTGTATGATTTCTGTATTATTTGCATATCAGTTCAACATTTCACTGACATGAATCTTCTCATATGTATAACTCTTTTTTTTTCTGCTGCAGTGATTTCTTGACTAGATCATATGATATTGGTGGTGTTATCAGTGTGATGGCCTTGAGTGGCCTTTTCATTCTTATGACACAACACGGTCTGGAGTATCCAAAATTCTATGAAAAGCTTTATGCACTACTGACTCCTGCTGTTTTCATGGCAAAACACTGGTCAGTGTTCTTGCAAGTAAGTGAAAAAAAGTATGACTGCCACATTATGGTTCCTCTCCGAGTATGGTAGATCACCCTTTTTTTTATGATAAATCAACTTCTGTGAGCTGAAAAATATTATAAAGTTCCACTATGGAAAAAATATCAAGGTCTGCAGCCATCCCACAACTTCGTATTTTATAAATGCTGCTCCAGAGCATCTCATTCAGGCCCATATACAGTGATAGTTTGCCATCTTTGTCTGGAACTATTTTTCAGTTGGAACAATCATGGCCATCTCAATGCGGACTCTAGCAGCTGGCATAAAGAATTATCCATGTGCAAGTTACCTACGAATTATATTAGGCTAAACTTGTAGTTTATTAGTTAATCCTGATGCTTGAAGAGGACAACACTTATGGTTGAAGAGGAGCAAATATCCATAATACATGCTGCTGAATCTTGAAATAGTTTTTGTTTTTATTTTTCTGTAAGCATTATTATCTTGTTTACCATTTAGTTATGGCTATCTGCTAACATTTGACTTGTTCTTGCAGCTTCTTGACACATGCCTGAAATCTTCTTATCTTCCTGCATATCTTGCTGCTGCATTTGCAAAAAGATTGAGTAGACTTGCTCTTTCAGTTCCTCTAGCTGGAGCTCTTATTATTATTGCTTTAATTCATAATCTGCTGCGGGGACATCCCTCAGTTAATTTCTTGGTCCATTGGGTATGTTACTTGCTACACCATTTTTTATAGTTGTACATTTGACAGATGTGAAGACCCAGTCTATCTGCTCTAACAAGTGTTCATCTTGCATATTGCTCCATGTAAATTTTCTGCCCTTTTGGGGAATCTCTAGCAGACCCAGGTTGCTGATGACTTTATTAAAGATCATAACAACATTCATGTTGTCGCCACTTCTATTTCTATCAGAAAGAGATCTAAAAAAGTTGAAGTCACCCACTATCATCCGGTTATCCTCTTCATCAATATGCAAATTGTTTAGTCAATGAACAAAATCATCTCTATCTGGTCCTTGGGTCCATAGACAGTAGTAAGAGTCCACTTCTGTCCATTGTGTGGAGAAATTAACAGTGGAAATTTGTTTATCTGAGCAACTTCACCATTGAAGATTGAACCATTCCAACCCCAAGGATACCACCAGAAGCTCCATCAGAGGGGGTGAAAGCAAATTTATTAAAACGTTTGGGTGCAAGTTTCCTGATGGAGTGCTCAAAATGATCTCTTTTGGTTTCCTGAATACAGTAGACAGCACATAAGCTTTCCTCAATTTTTTTCTTAACAACATTCTATGGATATTCCAGTTTCAATGCTAGAGAAGCTAGATTATCTACATGCTTGTTCACTAAGTCTAGTATGGGTTGGTTATGACATAGAAGGTTTGGTCATGTTGGAATGAAACAATTGAATAGATTGGTTAAACATGATTTGGTCAGAGGCTTGAAAGATGTCTCGAAAATGATAAGCTTTGTAGCTCTTGTCAAGCCGGCAAACAAGTTGGAAACACACATCCTAAGAAAAGCATGATGAGCACTAGTAAAATATTTGTGTTATTGCACATAGATTTGTTTGGGCCAACACAATATACTAGCATTGGTGGTAATAAATATGGCTTTGTGATAGTGGATGATTACACTAGATACACATGGGTATTCTTTCCAGTGAACAAAAGTGATGTGTTTGTAACATTCAAATCATTTATCAAGGGCATTCATAATGAGTTTGAAACAACCATCAAAAGAGTTAGAAGTGATAATGGTAGTGAGTTCAAGAACACTAGAATTGATGAGTTGTGTGATGAATTTGGAATTAGACATCAATTCTCGGCCAAATATACTCCACAATCAAATGGCCTTGTTGAGAGGAAGAATAGAACACTTATTGATATGGCAAGGTCTATGCTTAGTGAGTACAATGTGAGTCAATCTTTTTGGGCCAAAGCTATCAACATAGCTTGCTATTGTAGTAACCGTCTCTATTGTCACCCATTGAAAGAGAAGACATCCTATGAGCTCTTGAATGGTAGAAAGCTCAATATTGTATATTTTTGGGTCTTTGGTTGTAACTGCTATATCTTGAAGAAAGGCACTAGATTGAGCAAGTTTGACAAAAATGTGATAAAGGGTTTCTACTTGGTTATTCCACTACAAGCAAAGCATATATAGTTTGGAATTTGAATAGTGGTACTCTTGAGTAAGTTCATGATGTTGAATTTAATTAAACCAATGATTCACAAGTAGAGAATGAAAACTTGGAAGATGTTAGAGGCATTCAACTTTCAAGTGCCATGAAAAATATGGATATTGGTTAATTGAGGCTTAGGCAAGTAAATGATGATGAAGATGATCAAGTGCAAGTGCTCTCCGACTCAAATGTGCAAGATGATACAAATCAAGCTAGTACAAGTGGCTCTCATGACAATAAACAAGATCAAGTGGCTAGTACATCATCTCAATCAAATGATCAAGCAAGTGTAAGCAATTAAGTTTCAATCCTTCAACCAACCAATGTTGCAAGAGATCATCCATTGGACACTATTATTGGTGATATTTCAAGAGGTGTACAAACAAGATCAAGATTGGCTTCATTTTGTGAGCATTTCTCTTTTGTGTCATCCATTGAATCAAAGAAGATAGATGAAACATTGAAGGATGTTGATTGGGTGAATGTTATGCATGAAGAATTGAATAACTTCACAAGAAATCAAGTATGGAAATTAGTAGAGAGACCAAAGGGACACAATGTGATTGAAACCAAATTGGTCTTTAGAAACAAGCAAGATCAAGATGGGATAGTCGTAAGGAATAAAGCAAGATTGGTAGATCAAGATTGGGATAGTAGTCAAGACCTTGCTCTTGCTTTGGCTATCCTATGCATGCTAGTAAGAAACAAAGCATGAAAAATTTGGAGGTTCACACGCTAATTGGCTTCATCGTTTTTTGTTCAAAGAACTGCAAATTGAGTCTTCTAGTTCTGTACCCATGCTTATGTTCAGAGAACTATCAGGCTGTTTCTCCGGAGAAGTCAAGACTTGGTCTCTGGGGCACGGCTTCTTGTTGGCTGGATGATACAATAAGTCGACCGCCAATTTTTTGCGGTACCTAAAGACCATGTCCTGTATTTTTAAGGTAAAACTAAGAACTTATTTGGCATTTACAAATCTAAGTAAAACACAAGACATGGAACTAACCTCATCAATCTCATACACGTCATCCTTCCCATAGTATATCATGTGAAGCATTAAACGGTATCCGCAATCATAACTGCAAGATCAATTCAATAATATAAGAAGTAAAATATTTTTGCAAGATTAATGCAAGACTTTTTAATTAAATTAGAGGATTTACGTGTTTTCTACGTTTTGACTGGCAACTGTGAAAGGCCATTTCGTAGCACAGATGCCAAGCTTAGCCAAGTATGTGCGTAGATTTGCAACCACTTGCTCTACATGGCTCTTTGCAATGTCAGGCAATGAGTCCAACCAATCAAAAGATTGTCCAATATTTACCACAATGAGAGAGAAATGTCTTTCATGGTATATGGGGACAAATATCTGCAAAAAAGAAGAAGAAAGTGATCATGCCATCCAACCGGTCATCCTAGAATAAATTTGAACCTATTAAAAATAACAAAACGGAAAAAAAAACCCAACCAGCTTGGCAGTTTTTATCGTTTTTTGGTTAAGCTGAAGTGCCAGATTTTTAGAAGTTCCACCTACCAACTCAATCTAGATTCGAAGAGAGGTAAAAGGTTAGCACGGATACTCATAACACCAAAAGAATATTGGTTTCATGAAAGAATGTACTTACAACACTTTCCTGCTTAAGATAAATGTGGTCATGATATTGATGGTTCCATATTAAACATTGAGTATGAAGTATAAATGAGCTCATCTGCCCTTCTGGTTGGAAGGCATCAACAAAAATATCTTCATGTATGGTATGGTTGTTGATGTCCAGGATAGTTTTGTTATGGTCATATGAATTGATCTTTGATATGACATGCTCATGATACAATTTATCCACTTGAGGGAATTTCCTCACTTCAGTGACTTCACTCACTTTAGTCAGGCATGCTGCGGCTTTTGACTTAAGAACAGTGACTTCCTTCAGTGATATCAAGCATGATGAAACTCTTGACTTAAAATCATCATCTGGAGCGAATGGCTTCATATCAGTAAGTAAACCCTGCAAATTTTCGATTACTGGGAGGTCCACCTCCGCCACCGCAGGCAATGATCTAGAAGTACAGTCCACAGTTGACAGGCCTGTTGACATGCCTCGAGACAGTAGGAAGTCCATTTCACTTGAGGAGTCATTACAACACCTTGTGCTCTCATCATAGCATGTATGCTCTATCGGTTTCAACTGAAAAGGTAAATTGAACATATCTAATAAGAGGTATGAAAACCACTGTAAGAATAAGAAGGTTTTGTGCAATGACATAGCCTCCAAAAGATATATAAATACATGTGCTTTTGCAAATTAACTAAATAGTGGTAAGAGCATTATGTATTTAAAGATTAGTTCGTGTGCTTAAGATACAAGAATCCAAAGAAAAATTGTGCTTTTCCAAATTAACTAAATACATACAAAGATTAGTTGGGCAAAAGATGAAAACCGTTTTTAAAGGTTTTGGGCAATGACAATATGACATAGCTTCCAAATTAACTAAAACATACAAAGATTAGCCATTAAATAATATTACTATTGTCCAAAACCTTCTAAATAGCAGTATCTATCTAGATCTACAAATTACTTCTTTTGCCCAAAACCTACCTCTTCACACGAGTAAAACTTAGCAACATGCCTTGTACTTACCTTAAACTTGTCATATGTAACCTTGCCATTTATGCACCGCTTAGCTCCAGCAATCTTATCCAACAAAAACTTAATATTGTATTGATTTATTCGAGGACAGGTTTTGCTGTCCTCCTCTTTCTCCTTTTTCTCAGGCAGTAACATGTTGTCGACAATGTATGTCTGCCAACCAGAATATGTTCAGAAACATGGCTCTAATAAATTAACAAAAAAGCACAATGAAAAAAAGTAAGAGGTAGATGCTT